CAACACCTAACACTCCCCGCTTTGAAGGCCCACACACTTCTCACGCGTGCTGATCGGCGCAGTGGTTTTGTGTTTGGAGCCTGCACGAGCCAGATACAAGCAGCAAGTCTTGCCCATGCTGGAGCAGCTTTTGCATCTAAAGACAAGCACACACACACTGAGGGGAACTCACTTCCCAGGGCTGTCAGTCTGCCTGCCCAGGATTACGCTGCACTTGCTTGCAGCAGTATTTACAGGTGCCAAAGAACACCTTGGCCTTGCTGTTCCAGGAGCTGTACACCAGCACAGGGCACGCTCACACAACATAATGAGCCCAAAGACACCACGAGCTGCACAGCTCCACGTAGCTGAGCTTAATAATCACTGCTGCACGACTAATTAGCCCAAGCAGAGGATGTTGCTTGCGGTTAAACTGATGCAATACCTTACTACCTTGTTCAGTAAATGACCCTTGATGCCTCTACACACAACTACATTGTGAAATGTAGTGAGAGGCAGCCAGCTGGTGTTATTTCAAACTCTGCTGCTGGAATAGCAACCTGTTACCCTTACACAGACATCAGTAGAGATCTGAGCTTAAATAGAAGTCATGCAGGCATGCCAAAGGTCAAACCCTGCAATCTGGCAATGTGCAGATCTCCACCTCTCTGCAACAAGGGGACAAAACCTGGTTTTGCTGTAGGTTCTCCTGCTGCAGTTGAATGTCAAACCCTTGTTCAGACCACCTTGCAATCAGTTCTTTCTTTCTGACTTCCGTGCTCGCCTACTGATTTCCTTCATAGTCATCTCTGACACTTCCCTTGCACTTTTTTAGCTTTCAGATTTCCTCTGAGGACCCAACGGCATGAGCACAAGAACCACGTGCTCCCAAGTGCGTGGGGAGCAGAATTGGAGCTGTCGGATCAGAGCCTACCTGAGTCCTAGAAAGAAGTGCTAAAGCAACATAAGGTAAATAACATTTATAAGGGCTCCTTCCTAGCTAAATAATAAATACCAACACCTGGAAATACCTGTGTTCTTCAGTGTTCTGAGTGAGTGATTACACAGAATCTTGAAAGGTTAATGTGTAACAAACCAACTGATAAGTCAAAATGTTTGTCCGACCAACTGAAAGAAAAGCAAGATGCAAGCAGATGCCTCAAACCTGCAGCAAACAGCTGTCTGACTTCTGAGGATGTTTTTTGAATCGACTTTCACAGCCTTCATGTAAGGCAGATATTATGCAGTACCAGAGCCGCAGAGAGACCACATTTTTTTCCCCTCTCCCCCTCCACAGAAAGCTGCCCTGTTTGTGTGCCTGCCTTGTAACAAACAAGAAGATAAACGAGACTCTGATGCCAAAGTAATCATTCTAAATCTGTTGTTTTGACCTCTAAGCCAAATTTTCTGCATTACATGCCTGTGGCTCAGATAATACAGTCCATTTTTTTCCTGACAACTGAACCCTGTAGCATATGCATTACTCTGCTCTACTGATTGCTCTCTTCTACTGTTTATCTCTGAACATACACATAGCAGGAAATACAGGGTGTAGGAAATTCGGCACCAGGAGGCATTGGTGCACCCACCCCTTCAGAGCCACTCAGCTTTGTGTGTCTGGGAAACCATCTGGACACAAACCCAACTACGAACAAAATTAGAAATCCTTGCTAAACTGAAAACAGCAAGAAGGCAGATATAAATATCTGGAGGACAGTATGCTTTACCTTAATAGGTAATTTGGTGTATTTTATTTATTGGAGGGGAGATGTTCAGTGTTTCACCAGAGCACAGATTTTAGGATTGAAATCACTTCTCAAAGGCAGCCTGCACTGGATGCTGTCCAAGACGAACTCCACTTGACCCTCAGCACACAGCCTAACTACTTACTTTTCAGATAGAAAGCAGAGTTACCACATGTGCTGCTCAGGACGTGCTTTGCAGCCAGGCAGGCGACACTGTCCAGACAAATGTATATTTTTCTGGCAGTTAGAAAAACCTCATCACATTTACCACAGCAGCTTCATGGTGCAGAGCACTGAAGGCACTTTACCCATGATGGAAACCATTTCAATTTGTGCAGGGGGGGGGGGATTCCTCACAGTGGGCTTGTTTTACAACTACAGGGCAGGCTGGCATGCCAACCCAGCCTTCAGCAGAGCAGCTGCAGTCCAATTCAGCCTGGCTACACCTTAACCAACACAGCAGGCCTGGAGGCAAGGCCTGCTGGCAGGAGGGGACATGCAAACATGCGCATGACTCCCCAGCACCTTGGGGGAGGCTCTGGGACATGGAGCTCAAATAGGGGCAGGGCAGGAGCACCCTGGTTTGTACGCATGTAAGTTTCAGTAAAGCTGCAGCATCCTAGTCACTGGGAACGCTGCTCTGAGATGTCACTGCGGGCAGAAAAAGGCCAGCATTAAAACTGAGGCACAGCAACAGCATTCACTGGTAGCAACATGCAGCCTGCTCCCTTCTGACATGGCAGATGGGAGAGAGACACTTCAGCAGGGCGCACTGTGACAGGACGAGGGGAAATGGTTTCAAACTAAAAGAGGGGGGATTTAGACTGGACATGAGGAAGCAATTTTTTACAATAAAGGTGACTCAAGGTCAGATTGGACAGGGCTCTGAGCACCAGATGTAGCTGTAGGTGTCCCTGTTCATTGCAGGTGAGCTGGACTAGATGACCTCGAAGGGTTCCTTCCAACTCAAAAGATCATGTGGCTAGGAAGGACTCAGGAGATGCTAGCAGGCTGACCCAACACGGAGCGCACAACAGCGCGACAGGGAGCGCAGAGGCCGGAAAGAAGGGAGCAGCGCTCTCAGAAACGTGCAGCATTTGAAGTACATTTCCTCTTCTCTTTTACCAACAAATCGCCTGGGAGCAGGGAGGGAAGGGGAGAAGTCATTTCCTTGATCTGCACGGTATGGCCTTTTTGTTATTGTGTGGCTGCCAGTGGCTGGAGTGGGAAGGGAAGAAGCAAACACATCCCTGAAGTCACAATGAGCAACCTGGAGAGCGGACACTCAGCAGATTTCTGGCAATCTGCAGCTCTCTGGATTGTGGCCATTAGTTACGAAGTGCTTTTTACCACAACATTCACAGGAGAAAAATATTTCTGTCCATCCCCTGCAGCAGACAACTGCTGCCTGAAAGCACATGGAAAATGGCAGACCTTGAGCGTGAGTCAAATGGTAGACTTGTTCTCTCACAGGGACACACAGTATTTTCTATTCAGAGAAACACTGTTATTACTCCTTCCAAGCTTTTTTTGTTGTTTCCCCGCTGGCATCTTCCTATTTGAAAGCCCCAGCACAGCTCCATGGAGATCACAGAATCACAGAATATCCTGAATTGGAAGGGACCCATAAGGACTGTGAAGACCAACTGCTGGCTCCACACAGGACCACCCAAAAATCAGACCACAGATGTTTCAGACCAGAGATGCTTCAGTTATTCCTGGATAAAAAAGAAACGTAGCTCTGCTTTGCTCGTCTCAGCCTCTTTCCATCTTTCTGGCCTTACCTAAAGCACAAACCATTTCATCCTGCACTGGAAAGCTCTGGAGAAGGCTGTCTTTCAGAACAAGAAGCAAACAGCTGTTTTTTCAGCTCTCACTAACACACCTTCTTAGATGTGGAAGAAAGCTACTTCTTAACCAAACATACAGAAAAAGAAGCGACCACTAAAACCTCCACAACCACACATATCTCTGTTGTGCTCAAGACAATAATATCAGTTCTAAAGAAGGGCGCAAAGTGTTTATTTTTAAAGCACCAGTTGCACAGCTGTAATTTTAGAAATTTAACACAGGCGTAACCTGCTGCTGGGTTATCTGTCACACAAAAGATCTGTGAGGAAGGGCAGCTTGGAGGCTGCTGGGGCACAAATGGAGAAAGGTCCCTGAAGCTGCAGCCAGGGATTCTTTCTGCAGATTTCAAGTCAGCTCGTAAGAAAAAAGGGGCAAGCTGCTGCTGCTGAGCCTATAGGGAAACTCATCCTGTGCTAACACCCCTTTTCTTTTCAGTTTTCCTGCTTTCAGCCAGATGACAGCAAAATAGTGCACTGACAGCATAGGTGAGGCAGGGCAGTTGGTGCTGGACAGCTGGGAAATGTGCTGCAGTTCAAGGTTCAGCTACTATTAGAGAGCACACACATCTGTCTACATTTATTCCTGCTTTGCAGCTCCAAATAAAACACGAGGCCTTCCAGTCCTGATGAGTTTACACTTCTAAATACAACACAGGAGAAAAAAAAACCCACAAAAGCTCATCTTGGAAAACCAAACTGATACATACATGAGCACCAGATGGATTATTATTATTTTTACAACTGCCACATACACAGCAACATTTCTAAAAATACGCTACTAACTGGGGGGAAACATAACAAAACTCAAAACCACCACCTTACAAACACAATTTGAAGTAAGAAGCCCGGTTTCTCAACCCAGCTCCATAGCAAAACTCCTCTTATTTTATTTATTTATTTATTTTAAACATGTGGTTTCTGGCAGCAGGGGACAGCCAGCTAACGGTGAACTCGGTTGCCCACCATGCAGAGGTGAGTACTGACATGCAGAGAGCATCCTGCCAGCAGCTGGCTGCGAGCTGTCTAATGTGGTGGCACAACAGCTGTAAAGTCTTTCTGGACACCAAAAAGCCCTGAGTCCTAGTTAGGGCATAGTTACTGCCACTTTTGAAACAAAGCACTCATATAAATAAGAAAATGTGGCTATAGTTGAGAGACAAAGGAATGAAAACAACCTCCCCACACACCAGAAAGCAGAAAAAAAGCACAATTTGAAATATCTTTCCTAAATGCCTAGCAAGAATCTATTCAAAAACAAACAGCGAGCACTGCCACAGAGGCACACAGCTGCAGCAGCCTCCAGCTGGCAGACAAATGGATAACCGCATCCTTCTGTTTTCCTCCTTACACCAGAAAAATATTTGCCAGACGAACCCATTACAGGGCTCGAGCAGCTTGAGCAGCAGCACCAGGCAGGGTTACTTACTGCAGGCTCCACAGGTGAAGCAGCCATCGTGGTAGAGGTTGCCCATGGCCTGGCAGGCCTGGTTGGCTCCATACACCCCTTTGCTGCACTTCACACAGGTTCCTAGAAGAGATAGAGGGCAAGAGAGGTCAGGAGCAGGTCTGAGGAGCACACTGGTTCACATGGGGCTGGGTGCTTCAGTTATGAGGGTCACCACACCTGCCCTGCACTGCTCAGCTGAAGACCAGATACCATGTAGGTGACATGGGTGTCATGAATCCTGAGAAATGCTGCCACCGAGGCCATCCAAACTGTGACCTCAGTCCCAGACTCCTCTTACAGTGGGATGTGGACAGGAAGGAGCCGTGCTGGGGCTCCCAACATATCAGGCCATATGGGCAGGACAGCCTCCTGGAGATCCTTAGTCATGCTGTGGTTAGCAAAGCTCTGCTGCTTTTGGGTATTGCATGCTCCACAGCAATCGGAAAGGTCTTGTCAGAGCTGGGGAGAAAACTACTGGGGAGCAGTGCTGGAAATTACACCCATGCTGACAGCCCAGGTTTGGTTTTGCAGTCTCTTCTCACTGTCAGAGTGCTGCCCCAAGGCCTACAATGCCCAGAACCTGAGCCCACACCAACCAAAGCCTCCAGGGAGGCTGCAGAGGATGAGAAGTTGCTCTGTTTTGGTCACATCAGACCTGAGGGGAAAGGCTGGCCTGGCCGCAGGCCCATCCCCACATGGTTGGCACGAGGTTTGTGGAACGTGCTCTCTTCAAACTAAGTAGATTTATCTCCATTATCTATTGAAAGAAACACTTTAAGAAAGCAAATATGATCAGCAATGAAAGATGAGATAAATCACGCAAGCATTACCACAAAAAAAAAAAAAAAAGACAAGATAAGAAAAAGTTGGCTTTTTGCACGCCTGTGTTCTCTTCCAGGCATGTAGGATCAGCTCCAGCCCGACAGTTGTGCAATGCCCCGGCACAGAAGCAAAGGCCAGCTCACACAGCTCCCTTCTGACTGCAGCAACGCAGAGCTGTGAGCGGAAAAACTGCAGGTTTTGCTGTTTAAAACCTTTCCATTATATCCACCAAGCTTTCCAGAGAAGCAACACGCTGGAAGTGCCTGCATTTTTCCCCTCTCTGTGCCAGGGAGCAGCTGCTGCAGAAAATTATCTGTGTGCTCTGTAATGAGCTCCCTTCCATCCACCCTGTGCCCTGGCCTGTTGAGGTTGCGGAACGCAGGCAGTGGCCGTGTGCAGCCCAAGGACAGATGGCCTGGCCATATCCTGTGGTTGCCCAACATCCATCATCCATACCCACCCCTTGCTGCCCCACACCCCTCTCTCTTATGCTGCCCTTCTTTCACCTTCTGCTTAACCCTCCTATCCACTATTTAGCCCTCCTGGGACATGGAAAATCAAGACAAAGAATGAAAAACCTTGGTTACTTCACCATGCTTACATGAGTGTCAGTTTGAGCAGACAGTCCCCCAGTATCAGGCCCCTAGGCTCATGTGGCATTACAGGGGAGGAACAAGAGTTTTCTCCCACAGCACTGGAGCGGTGAGCCTGGAGCACATGCGCAGCAGCCAGAAATTCACACTCGAGTGCACAGGCAGAAAGGCAGCCGGATCTGGAAAGGGCACGGGATGCAAACTGCTGATTGCAGTCCAATTTCTGCTGGTCGGGCAGCTCAACCCAAGCAACAAAGAAGCCTCTGTTCCCTGTCACATCGGACGCATCACGTGGAAGGTGACGAGCCCCCAGGGTACAGCGTCCCTGTGTCCAGGGAGCCAGAGCTCATCAGTGCCAGCAGCAAGCAGCGTGGCTGCTGGGAAAGGCTACCAGACACCTAACCTATCTGTCTGTCTGTCCAGGATGTCAGTCCCAGCTCCAAAGCTCAACACGTGGACTCGTGCTCCCACAGGACTCAAACACTTTAAATGCGTTTCCTCTGAGTGCTGCTATGTCACATTTGCTGGGAGGTACACACATACTAACACCTCTGAGATCACCTTTCTGTCTGCTTGGGCACACCACAGCCAACCACAAATGCAGCCTTTGGGCCCCAAGGCAACTTGCCCTTACCTTGCTCCCAGCTTGTGCAGGGAGGAGATGCACGAAGTCACATCTTCAGTGTTCCAGACCCCGCTCTTGAAGACCCACCAGTGCTTCCACCACAACAACCACCACGACTCACGCACACATTTTTCAAAGACTGCCTGCTGAAATAGACTTCCCTACGTCACACCCAATGTGATACTTTCGGTTCCTCTGTCTTTACATCACACCATCTCCAAAACCCAATGCCACCTCCCTGTGGCTCACTGTAACTTCATCACCTCTTCACAAGACCCCACAGTCAGCACTGAGGGGACACGGCCTTCCCACACACTGCATTCCTCAGCAAGCTGCTATTGCCCACCAAGCAACCTCATGTCTCATAGTGCTGGTTTCAAGACCACTATGAAACCGAGTGCCTGGAAAACAGGGCAGCCTGGCACCCTCATCACTCAGTAGCATCACTGACTTCATTACTCATAGCAGTGAGGGACCTAAAGAACCACAAGGTTGATAAATGTAATTTTTTTGCCCTATCTTTGCATGCAGTGTTGAACCCCAACTGCACGCAGTGCTGGTGAAGTACAAAGCACCATCAAACTCCTCTGAGACATTTCAAGTACCTTACAGGGATGCGAGAGATTATGTGAACTCCAGTGCAAAATGAATGAGACTCCTTACGACTTTCAGTCCACGCTGCAACAGCATCCTAGCTGGGATATCTACGGATCTCTGTCTGACCTCCTTCCTTTTTCTTTCCTTTTTTTTTGCTTCACAAACCCAGCTGAGCTCCCACAAGGAGGGCTGCGGTGTGCTCCCAACACAATGCACAACACCAACTCCACTGTGCACACAGCTTCCAAGCAGAGCTGCTGCACTCGGGACTGATTCCACCCACTTGTACACGCTGGGGCTCCAGGTCCACCCAGGACTTCAGCTGCTCACCAACAGCACTGCATCTGCTGAGGGAATGAAACTTGTGGATGTGTTAAGTGGATGGCTGCTGGATGCTGGGGGGGGCAGCCCAGGGCTTTGCTGCCAAACGAGATGTGTGAGGCCCTGCTAACGTACCTGCAGCACATCAGCTCTGCTGTGAGCAATAAGGAAGGAAGTCAAAACACCTAACAAATATTTATAACCAGAAAATCATTTGTAAGTGTTGTTTAAGAAAACCTCTCGGTAACACTTTGGATAGGCTTTATCAGATGGAGATTTTCATCTAGCTGTACGAAGTGAGCACTGGTCAAAGCACGATACTGCATGCTACAGCTCTAAAGGTATCCTTTCCTGCCTGTGGGTGAAGGAACCCCAGTTATCAGTGATTGCTGTCAGGATCTCTGGCAGTCACAGCAGGTTGGCGGCAATCAGGCACCTCTCCTTGCTGGATGCTCCCCAGAGTGGACTGTGCAGGCTGTCCTGGCTTGCTCCCAGCAGCAGCCCCAGGCTGGGGCTCTATCTGCCCCTGAGGTTCAGTGGGCAGTGACGGAAGGACTGCCTCCCACCCCTCAGGTGACACCCGAGGCTCCCCACATAAACTATGTCAGCACTTGAGAGCACTTGAGAGCATGCCTGGAGAACCTGGATTCCTCCAAAGGCACACACAGCGCACATAGCTCACATTGCTAAAAAAAAAAAAAAATCAAAACAAAAACAACCTTGGCTTTGTTTGCTTCTTTCTCTTCACTTATTCCTATTCTGAACAGATAAATGTGCTGCATACAGTCAGCGAGTGCTGACAGATGACCAGGCTCCCTGCTGCTCTTCAGCAGGGCATCCTATCCACATTATGCCTCGTCACTGCTTTATCCTGTCCTAGGACAAACCTTACAAACCTTCATCTTCACATGGTGAAGAAAAAAGCAGCTCCTTTCCTACAGACAGAGTTGCTCATGATGAACACCTGATCCAGGCAGAGATGGACCAGCAGTCCTCCCATGCAGAGCTGAGGCTCCCACCACCCTCTTGCACACCTGCACCCCACCCCTCACCCCCGGCCCCCTCTCCCTGCTCTCACACACCAGGCGCCATGCAGAGCCTGTTCCAGAGCCCTGCCAAGCGGCCCGGCTGGGAGCCAGGATTACTGCTCCCTCACTGTAAACGTCCTGTGAGACAAAAGTCTCCCGCTTGCTGCTGCCACCTGTTTTATGACAAAAAGGTACAAATAAATCTAGCCTATTACTCCACCTGCCTGCTTTCTCACCTCGTTCCCACGCGCATTCTGTAGCAGCTATGATCCCACTGGCTTACTGGCAACCAGCAAAATCATTTTTGCATGCTGTCTCCTATGAGCTTTCTCTCCAAGCCCATGCTCACACAGGGCTCCTCAGAGCAGCACTACAGTGAGGACCCATGAGCTCTTTGGAGCAGCACACTCCCAGCTCAGCATGCAAAGCACCAGAGCGTGCCTGCAGGCTGCAGCAAGCCCCGTAACGCAGCAGGACACATCACTTTTCTGCCAGAGGACAGAAACCTATCTGCCTGCCACAAAGCTAAACTTGATCTCAAGCCCTGAGATAAACAATCACAGCAAAGCCCTCTGCAGGCAAGCGTACTGCCTGATGCCAAGAAACACACTTACTATGCAATTTGCAACTAAATGCTCAGCGTGCCTTCACTGCGCCCACCCTGCTGCTCAATCACAGAGTGGCAGGGAGAAAGGAACGCTCACTGCAGCCATGACTTTTTGCTATTCCATGGTACTAAACCAGTTTGGTAGGACACTCCTATTCTCCTCCAATATCCTCGCATGTAAGTGGACTCTCCACCACAAAGCACCAACACAAACCTGTTGGGCTGTCCAAGCTTTTGGTCCACAAGTCAACTACTCCTCCCAGATACATGCAACCCACTCATCATTTGAAAGCCAATGAGGACCAACACCTGGGGCACAGAAAATCTGCTGACTATGGGAAACCCTTCTATCCACAAAGCGTCTCCCTGAGGGATCCCTCAAGTGTGTAGTCAGCTCCTTCAGGGCCACTCCAGCAGAAGCTCCCTCGCAGGTCACACAACCAAGGACCACTGCAGCACAGCCACGTCAGGCACCGCTGAGCACTCATCCTCCTACAGGTCTGGTTGCCCCTATGGCCTCTTGTGAGCCCAACCACATTCCTGCCCTACATGTGTGATGCCATCCTGCTCCTTGGCAGGCTCCTTTCCATCCAAACATGCTCAGGTAACGTACTTTGAGCACATGGAGAATGGTCAATGTTGTGAAGAGAAAACCCTCCTGAAAGGAAGAAATTCCTGGCCAGCAATGGTGGACCGTCCCAAAGATACTGCTAGATCTGGTGCTCAGCACTGTTCTCCCATGGCTGCTGTGCTATGAAACTTAAGGATTAAGAAGAAGGCAACATTGAAATACGAGTTTCCAGTACCTGTGATGAGAAACTGTTAAATTAAAGAAATTGAAAATGCATAACCCAACAGCAGCAGTATTGACACACACGGTGAAGGCATGAACCTGCCACCACATACAGCAAGGAGCCATCTCACACCTAGGCATGCATCACATCCTGTCGCAGCTGTGCTTACCAAAGTAGTCAGCCTTGGGCCGCGCATCCATCTCCTGCTCCAGGCGCTGAGTGAGTGCTTCCAGCTTCAGCTCAGCTGCAGACGGCCCCTGCTCTGGCTGTTGGAGGGTCTGGCAGGGCAACTTCACCTTGGCCACGCCGCAGCCCTCCTGGTGCCTGCCGTCAGGATAGAGGCTGCTTGTGCCCTCCTTGAAAGGCTGCTTTGGCGTATCTGAAGTCAGCGGCCCACGTGCTGCTGCCAGGTGTGAGGCACCCAACTCGGGGCCGCCGTTGGGCCGGTGGTTGTGGCCGTGGGCCACAAAATGACTGGAGAGACTGGGGTGGATGCCAGCTTGCTGGTAGTCCACACTGGGGCCCCCAGGAGCAGAGCTGGGTGGCAAGGGCCGTGAGCCACCCTGGTACCACAGCTGGCCGCCATCTGTGCTTGGCCCATCCACACCGGCTCTTGGCCCGCAGGGCTCAGTGAGGGCCAAAAAACCTGGGCTTGGCTGTGCCGCAGAGGCTGAGAAGGAGGACCTGTGCTGCGGCGTGGCTGCTGGTGCCCCATCCGAGGGACCCGCAGGGCTGCGCACCTGCGAGAAGGAGGAGGACCTCTGCCCGGCTGGCTTCTGCTCCTGGCCCTGGCTGCCCCGCCGGTCATCACCGCCATTCTCCTGAGGGTCTCCGCGGGGCTCTGCTTCCCAGCCTCGCCGTACAGCCTGGGAGCCGGGGGATTGCGGCTCCCCAGGCACAGGGAAGGCTCTGCAGGTGCCCGGCCGCCCGCTGCTAGGGCCCTCAGCTGCCACCTGGGGCAGGGTGCCGGCGGCTGAACCCAGGGGTGGCTTAGCACCGCGAGAAGCGGGCAGGCCGGGCCGGGATGCAGCCAAGCCAGCCCCACCATTGAGGGAAGCGGTGGCCATCAGCATCTCCTGCTGCTGCTGCTGGAGGTGGATCTTGGCCATCTTGGTGGCAAAGACCCGCCGGGTCTCCTCGAACTCCGGGTTGTTGCCGGCCGCTCTGTCCACTCGAAAGAGCCCGTCCTTGGAAGCCTCGTACATGTTGAGGTCCTCGATGAACTTGCTGGCCTCCAGGCCCAGGTCGTCGTACTTGTCCATCCCGCCCCGCTCTCCGGCTGCCTCCACCACCACACGCTGGGGCCCGCCGGGGCCGCGCCGTGCCGGGCGGGCCGTCGGCCCGGCTCAAGTTTCTTTCTCTCCTCTTTCTCGTCCCTCTTCCAGCGGCGCACGGGGCGCGGAGCCGGAGCCCTCGGAGTGCCGCGCTCGGCGGCGCCGGCACAGCCACAGCGCGGCCCCGGCCGCCTCCCGCCGCCGCCAGTCCCGCCCGCCGCGCCGGGGGCGGGGGCCGGGGCGGAGCCGGCGGGGCGGTCCCGCCGCGTTGCACTGCAGCCCGCCGGGGGCCCGCGGGGTGCTGCCGGCGAGGGACGAAGGCGGGCCGGGGGTGTCGGTGCTGCCGGGATGGGGCGGGGCGGCGCGTGGGGAGCGGGTGTGCGCAGCCCGGGTACGGCTCCGGTCCCGTCCGGGCGCTTTGGAGATCTCCGAGGAGGAGAGCCCGCGGCCTCTGGGCAGCCTGGCCTCGGGGTACGGGTGGGAATTCACACGGCTAAGAAGGGATTTGAGGAGTTCAGAGAGAGGACTCAGGGATGGTGACAAAATGCACATTGAAGGCAGCGTGGGAAGCGGGCAGCTGCACCTCCGCGACACTGTGCGCTGCACGAAGCAGGCGGCGGGGCCGGCAGTGGGTCTGTGTAGGGACGGCAGAAGACGCGAGGAAGGCGCATGCAGACCCACGTGCAGATCCAGGCACACGGGCCTGCAGACAGCCTGCTCGGCACAGGATCTGCGCAGCTGGAGCAGAACCGCTGTGTTTAAAGGTCCCAGGTACCACCGGGACTGCAAGGAGTACGATCTGCTAGGTGGGGATGGAACTGCCCCAAGGCTGGCGCTGGGCGGATGGGGTGAGGACAGGCCCTCTCTCATCTCCTCTGCTCAGCGCTGCCCAGCTGTGGGCACCCTGCTGCCCTGCTACCCTCCAGGGCTGCACCAGCAGCGATAAGCAGAGCTGTGAGTGCCAAGGATAAGGCAGAGCTCTGAGCTGCCAGGGAAATAGTTTGCATTCCTGGAGCGGGAGCTGCAGGAATGCGCTCACCGGCTGAGCCGCCCTAATGTACTGAGGCACAGCACCATCCTGACCTGTCGTGGCTGACAGACCAAGCAAAGCCTGAGCGAGTCCCTGCTCCGGACCCTGAGGGCTGTGGTGCCCCTCAGTAGATCCACTGAAAGTTGCCGGCCTGGGTGTGTGTGCTCAGACTTGTAACGCTTCCCAAGCACTCGGGAGGTAGGGCCCAGATGTTAAGGAATGCACTGTGAATCAGGCTGTGTCCAAACTGCTAGAAACCAAAAAATCCCCTCCTTTTCTAGCAGCTCCCTTGCAAGAACTCTGCTTAGCAACAAGGACAGCTCACAGGCCCGAACGTGGCACACCACCTCCAGTGAGCCGCAGCCCCTCCAGGCAGGCACATGTCGCCTGGTGCAGCCACCTCAGCCCGAGCTGAGCTGCTGATAAACACTGGACTCATGGAAGTGAACCCAGGCAGTTGGCGTTTTCATGATCAGTGTGTCTGTGGTCAGTGATTTTGGTGGAGGCAGGCAGCAGCACAGAGCAGGGCTGGGGGACGGGGAGTGGCAGTAAATCACTCAGGAGGCCTTCACTGCCTGCTGAGCTTCTAAGTGATGGATAGCACTGAGGCACAAGGGGAAAACAATCCCGTCTGTCAAACCAGCCCCTCTATCTGGCCTCTCTGAGCCTTGCTCTTCCATGGGGAGGCTGAGGGAAGAAACATCCCCAGGCAGGGCTGTTTTGTGTTCCCTTTGCAGAAAAATCAGCAGCTGAAATGTGAACTGTTGATGACTATGACCAGAAGCAGCTCTGAGTGTGGGGATTGCTGCGCTGTGCTGTGTCAGATGGGTCAGGGGATGAGGAGCTGAGGGCAGGACAGCCCCAGCAGGTATTCTGAGCAGGTTTCAGCTTGAGCCACCAGTGGCTGACAACAAAAGTAACTGACTCTTAAGGGACTCCATCAAAATCTAGGAGCTATGAGGTTAAGCCCACAGCTCAACTAAAGCCTGAGCCTAAGTGTGTGATTGCCCCTGAAAGGAACTGCTGGCTGCACCGAGCTCCACACAAGGGAGAGACAGTGGCACAGCACTGATCTGAGAGCAACGGAGCCAGCCCAGGACTGGAAACTTCCCTCACTCTTTGCAGTGCAGAAACGAAGAACAAAGAGCAGTGTGAGGTTTTGTTTCCCTTATTTGGCATCGGCTTGTGGAAATCCTCAAGCAAAACCTAGAAGATTGGGTCAGTGCTTGAGCTCAGAGGAAGAGACCTGAAAAGCCACAGATGTGAGGCCAGGTTCCTCCGACCCCAGGACAGCTGGGAAAGGAAGCTCACATAATGCAGTGACTGTGTGCCACGGAGGGTATCCTCAAAGATCTAAGCTGCTGCTCCTGAAAGAGCTCCCTGAGTTCTCCCACTGCTTTGCTGGGAAAGGCCATTTCTTCAGGTTGTGGTTGCAGTCAGGAGGACGAGAGGCAGCAGCACTCGGATGGGACTCATTGTTCCGTGAAGTCCAGGAATTTCCAGGTGCAAAGCTGCAAATTCCCAGCTCCTTGAGCTGGTGAGCTGGATGTTCGACACCTCTTCTTCCTGCCCACTGGCTTCATTCAGAGCACTGCTGGAAACTGAGCGAGCTGAGATGCTTGGGCTTAGATTCAGTGGTTACCACTTTTGTTTCAAATGTTAAAACAATAAGCAGCAGAGTTGGTACTGAACAGCAGATCCGCATTTCTTTGGCTTGAGAGAAGAAGAAGACGCAATGGCAAGTGGATGGATGGATGGCAGCATAAACTCCACTGCTTTTCCCTGGGAGGAATCTGTGATGTTCACAGGCAAAGCGCTGTGGAGAAGGGAATCATTCATTGCCCTCGCACCACTTCTCTCCTCCTCACCCAAGGATGCGCAGTGCGCCTCGTGAAGGCAGGCTCCTACCCAGCACAGTGCAGACCTTGCTCATGCCTGCCATTTCTTCCTGCAGACCACGCTGAGGCCCCTGAGAGCTTTAGGAAACAAACCCTTTGGTGGGACAGAAGTATTTTGGAATGCAAGTATCGACTTTGGTATAGAAGTATCTATTTTCAGCTTTCAAAAACAAAGCAAGGAAGAATCTGTGACTTCGCTCAGATCAGGACTTTTTCCGACTTTCTTTTGTAAGGGTCGTGCACTCATTTTTTGCCACTACGTTTTTATCTGTGAGCTAACATCTGTGGGATGTTTTACCGCAGGGCTCGCAGGAGCCCTCACCTCGGGGGAAGCAGCCTTCTTGCTGAGCTGCCGCACTGACACCCCTGACCTTCACAGCCATGCAAAGTACATTTCCTTCCTATGCCAAAGGATAAAATCAGCTGTGGGAAGAACAATGCATGCACAGACAGCAGGCAAAACCCTGCTGAAGACGTTCAGACACTGAACGATGAAGCTGCACTTGGCCTCGCTCCAGACTCTGTACGCATGAGCACGCGCTGTGATTATGAGCTCCTGCAGACAGGAATCACAGCCAAGCAACTTACAGGCATTTGTTTTGGGCTCTGACATGCCGTGGTTTCGGTGAGTGTAAAGCAGCAAGGTACCGCTCAAGTTCTGTGCTCATGTTTATTCTCAGCGGGTTTTAGGCTAGGGATACTCCTAAGCGAACAGATGATTAACTTGAACTTTCTATTAGAATGGAGGTGTAATGCTACACTGCCTCACACACCCTGATGCTGCAATTAGGTACCAGCCCAATTTGTCATAGTTCTTGTGAGCTTTGCAGCCCGTGCCTATTTAGGAATGAAGGGGCTCGCAACTGATGTCATGCTACAAGGCCAAAATGTGTGTGCTTACTTGAATTGACTATTATAAATACAGTCCCTGGAAGAAAAGCCAGTGCTCATCTATTCCACGTTAGTTCCCATGGACTAGGCTTATGGATTGCAGTGTATTTGCTCGTGCTGTACAATGCTGACCACTTTGCAACACAGCCACCCTCTGCCTGAACACACAGCATGAAGGCAGGCAGATTTGTCAGGAAGATGCCCTGGGAGAATGGCTCAGGCTGAAACACAGCACTGATCCCAGTGGAGTCTTTCTGTGCAGCAGACGAGTTGCTTCCCTCTCCTTGCAGTGGTGCAGCCAGCTTTATCCCTCACAAAGAATGAGGCTGTTGGCTTACTAGCACTGGGTCTGGGGCTCCCTGCAGTGGATGACCTTGGATCAGGTGTGGAAGGACAACACTGAGGGCTGATGGGCAAGTATGTCTCGAGCCTTGGTAGCGATGGAAGCACTGTGCGTTTCAATACGGCAGTGTACCCTTTTCTAGAGAGAAAGAGAAAACAGGTATTCTTTTTCTTTTTTCTTTTT